AGGATGAGGATGAGGAGGAGGAGGAGGAGGGGGAGGAGGAGGAGGAGGAGGAGGAGGAGGAGGAGGAGGAGGAGGAGGAGGAGGAGGGTGCCCTCGCCCGTGGGCGACAAACGTACACGCTGGTCGTGGAAAGTAGGCTTTGCCGGATTTCCAGATCACAATCTACTTCAGGCGCCTTCTTACTGCCAGAATCGGCATGCTTTTGTTGTGTTTTGTTATTCTCTGGATTTTCACACGGCTCCCTACATGCCCAACGGTGAAAGCAGGTATTTTTGGAGGCCCAAATGCCAATCTATTTCAAGCGCCTTCCTATTTCAGGAGTCGAGCGGAAGTCCAATCTACTTTCAAAGCCTTCCTACCGAGTGGGAGGAGGAGGAAGAGGAGGAGGAGGAGGAGGAGGGAGCATCGAGGATCTCGGTGTGGAGCCGATGCCGCTGCTCGTCCCGGCGGGTCCTCGTTACGGCTGGGTTCTCCTCGAGGGTCTGGTCAGAGCGCATCCCTTGAGAGGTCTGAAGAGCAGAGGTGTCGGTATGTATTTGTCGCCCCAGCGGGGCGCCGCCGCCGCGTCGCCCAGACCCTGCGACGAAAAGCGAGTCCTCCCCCTGCGGGTCCAACCGACGCTGGGTTCTCGGACCCCCCCTCTGGGGTTCACCTGGCTGCAGTCGTGAAAGGGCATAGCCACACACTTTGCCCAGACATGCGGTGCGCACGAGAGCCTGGCCGCAGGCGCGCCTCTGCGGGCGCCCGCGGGCGGTGGCGGCGCCGGCGCCGGCGCCCCCCCTGGCGTGCCGCGGGGCAGCGGCCGTGGCCTCGAGGCCTTTGGTTTGGCCATGGGCAACGTTTGGGAGGAGGAGGAGGAGGAGGAGGAGGAGGAGGAGGAGGAATAACAAGAAGACGAATACTTACCATACGAATAACAGTACTAGCAACACGGGTATACTAAAAAGACTAGTCGTACGACTGCTAATATGAAGAAGACGAATACGTAGAACACGAATAATAACCGTGAGACTCTCAGTGCTAATACGAAACACGAATACTACGACACATTAGTACATACATGAAAGTCGTATCAAAATTTAGAATTCGATTGATACTATTACTACAGTTCATATTCCTACTAATACCAATAATCATCATCGTAATAGTACTAGTAATCAGAAACACCAGTAAACTATTAAGAGTCATAATAATACAACCACTAATACAGTTAGTATATCGGTATATACACATGTATACCATTTAAAGAAGAAGAGGAGGAACAGGAGGACGACGAGGAAGCGATGGAGGAGGACGAGCAGGAGGAAGATGAGGGGGAGTAGGAGGAGGAGGACGACGAGGAAGAGAAGCAGGAGGAGGAGGAGGAAAGAGGCGGAGGAGTCGAAGATGAAACAACAGCACATACATAAGCTTTCGGAGCTCCGCGCGGATCTCTTGGATTGGCGCTGGACCCGCGACAGTTGATGCTTATCCTGTTGTTCTGTTTCTCCAGGGAGGGGAATCTGCCGACATCCGCAGCTCGTCCGTGAGATCCCTTGTCGCCGCGGCCAGGCCTCCTTCCAAATTCTGGGCAGAACGCAGTGCGGCGGCCGTGGCCTCGAGGCTTGTGCATCATGAGCAGCGTTTAGGGGAGAGGAGGAGGACCCAGGAGGAGGAGGAGACCCAGGAGGAGGAGGAGGAGGAGGAGGAGGAGGAGGAGGAGGAGGAGGAGGAGGAGGAGGAGGAGGAGGAGGAGGACCCAGGAGGAGGAGGAGGAGGACCCAGGAGGAGGAGGAGGAGGAGGAGGGAGGGGGGACCCAGCGTTTAGGGGGGAGGAGGAGGACCCAGGAGGAGGTCGAGGACCTCGGCCCTCCCCCTCTCATCCTCCGACGGCGGTCGCGCCGTCGGGCGTGCGGAGGCGCCCCAGGGGCTTGATGACCCCTTCAGGCGCGCCAGAAATAGTGGGAAAGAGCGGGAGGACCCTGATCTTCGACGACACTATTTTCCATCTCGCTGTTTTCACTCAAGTCTGCTGCCCGCCGGTTGCTCGTCGTCGAGTTCTTGGGCGTCTGAGCGTCCCTCCCTCCTTGCACGCCGGCCAATTCGCCAGTCAAGTTGATGCCCCTACCTAGCTGCTCGCTGGAGCGAATTTCGCCGCCTCGCCGCTCACGAAACAAGAGTCCAGCCTCTGGGGCTCACTCCTGGGCTCGGGGACGATCGAGCATGGACCCTGGAGGACAAACTAGCCCCAGGGAAACGGTGGGGACCTCGGGTGATTACCTCGAGGCATGTGGTCACGAGCAACGTTAGGGGCAGGGGATGGGGTTGAGGTGGAGGGCGACCCGGCTATCCGACGTATGACTCAAGACAGCGTTTTTTCTTAGCTTTCGGCCTCTTGGGGCCCTCGCCAGGCCCGAGGGCCGTCAAAAAACGACTCACGATGAAAAGCCCGCCCTGGGGAAAAAGTCGGAACATCCGGTGGCCCGCACTGAGATCAGAGGAGGAAGCGGTGCCGACACCGCTACTTCTGCCTCGTTTTCGCCTTCTCGAGGAGTGGTATCCATACCTTTTTGCTTTCCCAGAGGCGGGGAAGGGTGAGGAGGAGGAGGAGGAGCAGGAGCGGGAGGAGGAGAGATGGAGGCAGAGGAAGAGGAGGAGGAGGAGGAGGAGGAGGAGGAGGAGGAGGAGGAGGAGGAGGAGGAGGAGGAGGAGGAGGAGGAGGAGGGGAAGGTTGAGGAGGAGGAGGGGAGGAGGAGGAGGAAGGAGGAGGAGATGGGGAGGGATGAGGAGGAGGAGGAGCAGGAGGAGGAGGAGGAGGCCAGGGAGTCGGGGGCGTCCAAGAGAGGGGTATCAGGACGTGTTTGTTTGTTGTTGGAGGAAGCGTTCGTTCAGGGGCAACGTTAGGGAGGGCTAGGCTCATGGGGTTATGCAGCTACCCCAAATCGCACATTCATCGCCGATACGGGCCTGATATCCCGCCCTGTCCAGGAAGCTGCGGATATGCTATCCAGGGTCAGTCGCCGATCTATCGGCGATGTACCGCTGAGTGCCGTTCGTTTCCCCTCTTCAGACGGTCCTCCCGATCCCCTCCATGTGAGGAGGAGGAGGAGGAGGAGGAGGAGGAGGAGGAGGAGGAGGAGGAGGAGGAGGAGGAGGAGGAAAAAGGAGGGGGGGACGAGGAGGGAGGAGGAGGAGGAGGAGGAGGAGGAGGAGGAGGAGGAGGAACCGGAGGAGGAGGAGGAGCAGGAGGAGGAGAGGAGAGGAGGCAGGAGGAGGAGGAGGAGGAGGAGGAGGAGGAGGAGTTGCAGGAGGAGGAGGAGGGGGCGGAGGAGGAGGAGGAGGAGGAGAAGGAGGAGGAGGAGCAGGAGGAGCAGGAGAATGGCGCTGGCAGCGACGACGACGACGAAGACGACAAGACTGGGACGAGGACGGCGGCGGCGGCGAGGACGGGGGCGGCAGCGGCGGCGGCGAGGACGGGGGCGGCGGCGGAGGCGACGACGGTCGTGGCGCCGCGCGACGATGGCCGCGGCGATGACAAATACGACATGGACTCGGGACGAGGACGGCGGTGGCGGCGGCGGTGGCGGCGACGACGGGCGCGGCAGGACGGCGGCGGCGGCGACGATCGCCGCGGCGCCAGGCGGAGATTTCTGCCGCGCGACGTCGTCGTCGTCGGCGCCGCGCGCACGGCCATCGGCGCCTTCTGCGGCGGCCTGGCGGCGCTGCCGGCCACGCGGCTTGGCGCGGCGGCGATGGCCGCCGCGCTGCGCAAGGCCAAGGTGGCCCCCGAGGAGGTCGACGCGGTGGTCTTTGGCCACGCGCTGCCCGCCGGCTGCGGGCTGCACGCGGTGCGCCAGGCCTGAGAGGAGGAGGAGGAGGAGGAGGAGGAGGAGGTACCCGTGCCGCTACCCCTCGCCTCGTTTTCCCCCGTTTGGGCCCCCTGGGAGGCCCTCGTGGCCACCGCTGGATGGGCCTCGAGGTTCGGAGCAGAACGCGCCCCAGGGGAGGTCCAGGGAGTAGCAGTATCGGCACCTCTTTGTCATCCCACAGGCCGCCCTCCTGGCGGAGATACCCCCAGCGGTGGACTGCACCGGCGTGAATAAGGCGTGCGCCTCGGGGCTCAAGGCCGTGGCCCTGGCGGCGCAGGCCATCGAAGAAGGAATAGCTGCAGAATATGCGCATGAGCTTTCGGAGGTCCTCGCGGATTTCTTGGATCGGCGCTGGGCCCCCCTGGCGGCGCCTCCGTCGCCGCCCCCGCCGCGCTCCGCGCGCTGGGGAGGGGGGCCCCATCGCCGATCTGATCCGAGAAGTCCGCGCGGAGCTCCGGAAGCTTGTGTGCTCATCTCTTCCTTGTTCCTCCAGGCCATCGCGCTGGGGCAGGCGGAGGTCGTGGTCGCCGGCGGCATGGAGAGCATGTCCAGGGCGCCCTACCTGCTGCAGCAGGCGAGGGCTGGCGGCTACCACTACGGCCCGCCCTGCGGGCGGGGGGAGGAGCGGGGGGAGGAGGGGGCAGGGGGAACGTCAGGGGGGGTCAGCTCAAGCGCCTCAGCCTCAGCATCCCCTCCCCTCCCTTGGCGGGGAAAGCTGCGGGGAGCAGCGCGGGCGGGGAGAGATCGCGCTCGGATCGGCGGCACATCGCCGACGGATGATCAGCGATGGGCCCCAGATCCTGGATCCGCACGTTCCTGGGCGGGGTGGGCAATCGGGCCCCGATCGGCGAGGGATTGGCGGTTGGGGGGTTGATGCATCCCCCCGCGAGCCTTCCATCGCCGATCGGGGCCCGATTGCCCACCCCGCCCAGGAACGTGCGGATCCGCCATCTGGGGCCCAGGCCCCAGAGGAGGGAAGGGGATGCTGAGGCTGAGGCGCTTGAGCTAGAGGCCGCACTCGATGATTGCGTATATGTCAGAGCCTTTGACGTGCTGTGGCAGTTCACAGCGGCCGGGCGTGGTGAGAGCTGGCCGTTGCGCACAGCATCCTGGACTCCTGGAAACAGAAACAGGATGAGGCGGCTACAGTGGGCACATCCGATAGGAAATCTTGCCGCAAGAAATCTGGGGCACGTTCTTCTTTGACCCTTGGACTCCCCGAAGGGCGCCCCAGGGTTTCTGAGGGCCCCAGGCGGGGGCCACCTTGGGCGAAGACATTTCCGTGGGGCTCCCGCCGGCAGTTTTTTTTTTTTTTTTTTTTTTTGTTGTTGTTGTTGTTGTTTTTTTTGTTTTTGTTTTTTGTTTTGTATAATTATATATATGTATTAGTTTTTTGAATTAAAAAATCGGCCAGGAAACGAGCGACACCACCCCACCTACGGCCCTCCATGCTGCGCCACGGCCCAGCGGGGGCCGCAGCGCATACCACGCAAAAGCCCACGCCAGATCAGTTGGCATACGCCAAACCCCGCGGGGCCGCAGGTGGGGTGGTGTCGTTTGTTCTGTGGCACCCAGGGTGCGCCGGTGTGAGCGCACCTCGCCCCTCGCGACCGCCGGGCCGCCAAGAGACGGAGCCGTCTGCGTCGCGCGCGCTGCTGGGCGCGGCCCGCGAAGTGGGCCAGGCGATCGCAAACATGGATCAAGGGGGCGTGAATTCGCGACGGGTCCCGTTTCCATGGGACACTGCGGATTCAGCCGCCGAGCGAGGCGGCACTGGCCGCATTTTGGGGAGGGCACCTCCCACGGTCCATGGACTTGGCGACCGCGCGCCAAATCCATGGATCGCCAATCCATGTTTGCGCGCCCCCGATAAAAGGTAGCCACGCATTCCACGTGTGGGCGAAGATCAAGATGGAGGCTTCTCGTAGCTTTTCCGGCCCCGGGGGGTCCCTCGTCGGGCCCTGGGGCCGTCAGACAGCGGCTCCCGGGGAAGAGCTGGCCCCGGGGAGGGAGGCGGGGCACCGCAGGACCCCGTGCTGGAATCAGAGGAGCACTGCACCTCAGGCGTGCCTCTGCGGTGCGCGCGTCAGCCCCGCAAGGGCCCCGCGCGCGCTCGGAGGTCGTGCACTATAAGCTCCGTGGCGGGCGCTCTCTGGCCATGCCGCTCGGGAAGCGACGCATATATACAGACACATCTATATATACATATATATATATATACATTTATATGTATATACATACATCTACATATATATATACACGTAGATGTATATATACAAATCTATATACATCTGCTATACGTCTTGTGTCCTGTACGTTCGTGTCGGACGTGCGCCTCCAGCGTCAGCATCCCATGACTACTCCGGGCTTCTGAATGAGCGTGGGGGGGTACCCCCCCGACGGGGGTCAACCTCGTCTCGTCGTCGCGCCGCGACGGGGGTCGGAACGCCTTCGGCGCGCGGTGGCTGCCCGCGACGGGGGTCGATGTGTGGCTGTCGGCGGGGGTGACGCCCCCCCCCTCCCCCCCGACGCTTATGAAGAAACTCGGGGTAGCTTTGGATGGGGATCCCCTTGTGCTCTTCTGTGTGCGGGCTCTCTTTGCCCTGGGGCCCTCTTCTTCGCCCCGGGCAGGCCACGGGGCGTTGGACCCTCTTGCTCTCGGGCCCGCGCTCTGGTGGCCACCCTCGGAGCGGACTCCGGTCCCGCGGCGGGGCTGCGGCCGTGCGAGCGCCGTGCCACTCCCGGCTTTTCTCTTGGGGGGGGGGTCCCTTCGACGCGCGCGTTCGCCTGGGCCTCCTCAGACTGGAGGAGGGACGGAGGGGACGGGCGGGCTGTCCGCAGCAGGAGGGCGGGGGGGAGGAGGCTCTTCCTCCTCGTCATCCTCACTGCGCCTCCCTCCTCCCCTCCTCCCCTTTCTCGGTCCTCCTCGTCCTCGCCCTCGTTTTTTCTACGTCCTCATCCTCGAACCGTTCTTCCCCATCGTCCCCCTCTTGTTCTTTCAGTTGCTCCTACTGCTCCCATTCCTTTGTCGCCGTTCCTCTCGGTTTCTCTCATCCATCGTGTTATCATCATCATCGTCATCAGCAGCAGCATCGTCATCGTCATCGTCATCATCATCATCATCATCATCATCATCATCATCATCATCATCATCATCAGCATCACTATCATCATCATCGTCATCATCGTCATAATCACCACCATCAACATCATCATCCTCATATTTTCTGTGCCTCCTTCTCTTTTATGTTGCTTCTCTCTCTTTCTCTTTGTCGAGGGAGGGACGTTTATTCACGTATGCCGATGGGCGGAGGGGGAGGACGAGGACGATCAGGAGGGGGAGGAGGCGCATCAGGAGAGGGAGGGATTGGGACGACAGGAGGAGGGCCGGAGGACCTTCAGGCGATCGCAAGCATAGATCAAGGCGGCGTGAATTCGCGACGGGTCCCGTTTTCATGGGACATCGCGAATTTCAGCCGCCGAACGAGGCGGCACCTGCCGCATTCTGGGGAGGGCACCTCCCCCGATGCATGGATTCAGCGACCGCGCGCCAAATCCATGGATCGCCAATTCATGTTTGCGCGCCCCCGAGGATCCTCCTCCCTCATGCTCCCCCTTCTCTTGATCCACCTTCGACGACGAGATGGCGGAAGTGAAGACGAACGGCCGTCGACGGACGACCGACGACGACGAAGGACGAGTGAGACGGCGACGAACGACTCACCGCCCGAACGAACTAGACGACCGACAAGACCCGACCGACCGACGGCCGACGCCCGAGGCCGGCGACCGACGACGACCGACGGCGACGACCCCCCCCGACGTCCTTTTGGGGGGCCCAGCAGAGGTCTTCGGAGGCCTCCAGATCGATGTTCTTCGGGACGTATGTTGGCCCAATGTGTACCAGGAGGGGGAAAAACACAGACACAATTAATCGTCGACTCCCAAGAAAATGTGGGAAAATATGGGCAGTGGGGGGGAGGATGAAGATGCAGAAAAAATGGGAAAATTTGGGGATCCTGTTTTTGTGTATTTAAGTGTGTGAGTCCTTGGGTCCCTCGGGTGTATTCATCCTCCTTGGTGTGGGAAGGGCGGTCTCGTCGTCGTCTCTCGTCGTCGTGTTTATCCCCATCCGCTTCGCCGATGGTGCGCAGCCTGTGTTGGCCCATCATAGCTGCACCGCCTGCACCTCTGGGAGGGCTTCGGTGGACGAGCGGACCTTGGCGCTAACGCGCGTTCCGAGGATCATCGAGCAGAGCTCTCTGGAGGCCTCCGGGGCGCTCGGACCGCGACCTTCGGCCCTCGCTGGGTGACTTCGATCTGCGGCGGCCACGACCGGCCGCGCAGGCCATGGCAGGCTCGAGGACTCCGCGCTGCTGGACGGGCTCACGGACGCCGGCAGCCAGAACCACCTCGGCGCCTGCGTGGAGAGGACGCTCTGCCCCGCCGCGACCAGGCATCGACCCGCAATCGCCTATCATCGCCGATGGGGACCGTGCGGACTGGATGTCGGTCGCGTGTCGCCGGCCTATTGTCCATGTACCGCCAACTCAGGCTTGTCGCTTCCCCCCCTGAGCTGGTGACCCCCAGCGTTCCCCCTCAGGGAGGGGTAGCCAGCCTCGAAGTTGCCCCCATCCCCAAGATGGGCGAGCGAAACATCGAGGAAGATCTTGGGGATGTGCCCCCAGAAACTGAGGGGATCCTTCAGATCGGCATCGAGGTGACGTGATGCCAAACACAGGGATAGGGATATGTTTCAAACTGGTAAAAAGGGGGGAGCGACGGGAGCGTCGTTGATCGGAGAGCGCCAGCTGCACACACAGACACACACACAGACACACACACAGACACACAGACACACACACAGACACACACACACAGACACACACACACACATTCACACACAGACACACACAGACACACACATACACATAGACACACAGAACACATACACACACAGACACACACAGACACACACAGACACGCACAGACACGCACAGACACGCACAGACACGCACGCACGCACGCACGCACGCACGCACGCGCACACACACACACACACTTCCACACTTCCACACTTACACGCACACGCACACGCACACGCACACGCACACGCACACGCACACGCACACGCACACGCACGCACGCACGCACAGACACACACACATACACACACACGCCCACACGCCCACACACCCACACCCACACGCACACGCAATACGCGCACGCGCACACGCGCACACGCACACACTAACACGCACACGCACACACGCACACGCACACACTACAGACCAGATATTTTATATTTTATATATTATACACTCGACATAACACACTGGCAACATCTCTGGACCGGCCCTCTGGCCCGGCGAGGGATCAGTGCCTTTTGCGGGCTTGGCATGGGATGGCGCAATCACAGAAGGCCGTCGGGGGTGGGGACGAGCCCGCTCCCTTGAAACGTCGATTGGTGAATTGTCGTTGATTGTCACGGTTTTCGCAAGCCCATGCCGGTTTGTGTACTTTGTTACGGTGGGCGGACTAAAAGTGTCCACACGTGTCTCGCCAAGACCTTGGGTTATTCAAGCACGTCGGACCACAATGTATGCCCCCCTTCCCCAAGCTTCAAAGTTGACGGGTGTGGGCGGTAGGCCGCAGGCCATGGCCAAATGTGGATTCTTCAACTTTGATTTCCGGGGGGGGTGCGAAGCAAGGGCATTTCCCAGTTGTGATTGTCATCATGTCGTATCGCTTTCCCGCCATGGGTGTGGACACTTTTTGTCCGGCCACCGTAGTAAACGGGGTGGTAGTTAAGGGGCCTCTACGAGCGGGTATGGGGCGACAGGGCAATTACCTCGCACTGGTGCGTGATAAATCGGGGCGACAAAGCCGTGGATGCATCATCATAGCTCCGGGCGGGAGGGATTACCTGGCACTTGTGCGCGGCAAATCAGTTCTTCGAAGGCAAGCTTGAAAACGCACCCTTAGCTACCACCCCGTTTTCAAGCACCACGTTTGCAGGGGCCTGGTTTCGGTTCTCGAGGGCGCCGCGGCCGTCATTTTCCAGGTCTGCGCCCGCCAGGTGTGGGCCCGAGGTCGTTTTCACTAAGCCACGCTTTTTGCTAAAGGGGGCTCTGTCCATCCCCGACAGCGCGGCGCACGTACCCGGCTCCGCGCCCTCGCGGTCTGGACTCCGGGGCGCGCTCCCGCGGATACGGATGCGTTTCGCGCGGGGCAGCTGGGAAAAAACGCGCCGCATCCGCGGGGTCGTGGCCCAGGGTCCTGGCCCGCGAGGCCGCGGATACGGACACGCATTTTTCTCGCACGACGTACGCCGATCCTGGGCCCAGGGTGGGCTTTGGCCATCTCCGCGTATGCATCTCATGTTTGGGCTCTCAGGAGGGAGAGGGGATGGCCGAACCCGATCCTGGCCCACGGGGCCCGGGGCTTCTCGCGCCATCGTGGGACCCCAGGGGCCCTTTTGGTCTTTAGGGAGGGGTGATCTTGAGGCCATCCCGGCTTCCCTCGAAAAGCAGGGGTCACCTTGAGAGCGTTTTTTTTCCTCCCCAGGTCAACGCTCGTTACCCGGGCCAACCCCTCCCCCCCGGGAAACGCTAACGTTCCTACTGGTCGGGTCGGCCTAGACGCCCCTTGCATGCTACAGGGCGGGCCCCCCGCAGGTATGGCGCTGTGCTCACAGGCATGGCGGGGTGCTGGAAGGCATATTTTGGTGCTCGCAAACGAGTTGTGGCGCTCGCGGGCTTCCCACCTGTTGCGGCGCCGAGCTCACAGGCATGGCGTCGTGCGCAAGTCACGTGCGTGTTGTGGCGCTTGCAGGCCTTTGCGGTGCGCATAGGACAGGCGGACTCACTGCTGCGGCGAGCCCAGCAAGCAGGCGAGGAGGAGGAGAACCAAGAGGAGGAGGAGGAGGAGGAGGAGGAGGAGGAGGAGGAGGAGGAGGAGAAGGAGGAGGAGGAGGAGGAGGAGAGGAAGTAGGAGGAGGAGAGGAAGTAGGAGCCGGCCGTTTCCGGTCGGTGCCTTATGGTTTTGGCGGCGGCGACGGGGCGGTCGAGGAAGAGGCGAGGGATGAGGAGGTACAGGAGGAGGAATGAGGCATGGAGTCTCAGGTAGCGGTGCGGGGGCCCCTTCAGATCTCCGGCAGCAGACCCCCTTGGCGAGATCTCCGGCGAGATCTCCGGCGAAATCTCCGGCGAAATCTCGGGGAAGCGTAATCTCCAGCGAAATCTCCAGCGAACTCTCCGGGAAGCGACATCTCCGGCGAAATCTCTGGGCCATCCCGCCTGGCCGAGAATCGCCACAAACGGAATCTATTTGAATGCTCCACGCATGGAACCCTATTGTAATCCTCTACGTAAGGAGTCCTAATGCAATCGTCCACAAAAGGAATCTTTTGTAATTTCTTGCAGAAGGAATCCGTCGCATGGGGTCGGCGTGACACGTGTCACCCCTGTGCTGTTTCACACTGTATCATGTTGGCATCCAGAATGCGAGTGGATCAATTGGTTTGGCCCACGCGGCATTCGGGCTGACACGTGTCACCCTTGTGCTGCGTCACATTGTCTAGTCCCATGTTGGCATCCAGAATGCGAATGAAAGAATTGGGTTTTGCCCACATGGTTTTCGGGGTGACACGTGTCGCCCCTGTGTTGTTTCACGCTGTATGGTCCCATGTTGGCATCCAAAGTGCGAGTGAAACAATTGAGGTTCCGCAAACGGTTTTCGGGGTGAGACGTGTAACCCCTTTTTTGTTTCACACTGAATCTGCCCATGTTGGCATCCAGAGTACGAGTGGGACAATTCGGTTTTGCCCACACGGTTTTCGGGGTGACAGTGCTGTTTCACTTTGTATGGTCTCATGTGAATTCAAACAGTAGAATACCCCCCCCCCCACCCCCCCCCCCCCCCCCCCAACCCCCCCCCCCCCCCCCCACCCCCCCCTTTTCATCATTGTACCCCCCCCCCCCCCCCCCCCCCCCCCCCCCCCCCCCTCGGGTTCCACTACAACGGTTTTGGGGTGTACTGATCGTCCGTCACCCCTGTGCTGTTTCACATTGTCATTTTTTGGTCTTCATGTTGTGGCTTCCAAAATATGAGTTGTAAATGCATTTGAACTTTTGTTGTTACCCTAACCCTCACGGTTTTCGGGGTGGAAGTGCTACATTTTTTATGTTTTTCTCATTTTTTTATTTTGTTCTCACCCCTGTGCTGTTTCACATTGTATGGTCCCATGGTGCCATCCAGAATACGAGTGAAACGATCGGGTTTCCGCAAACGGTTTTCGTTGTGACACGTGTCACCCCTGTGCTGTGTCACATTGTATGGTTCCATGTTGGCATCCAGGATACGCGTGACACAGTTGGGTTCCCCCACACGGTTTTCGGGGTGACACGTGGCACCCCTGTGCTGTTTCACGCTGTCTGGTCCCATGTTGGCATCCACAGTACGGATGGAATAATTGGGTTTCGCCCACACGGCTTTCGGGGTGACACGTGTCACCCCTGTGATGTTTCACACTGTATGGCTTTCATTTGGCAGCCAGAATTATCCAGAATATTATTTCTGACGGGGAACATTTTGTCTGGAGATTTCCGACGGGGGAGATTTCCGGGGAGATTTCTGGGAGAATTTCCAGGAGATTTCCTGGGATATTTCCGTTGGGGGAGAGTTCCCGTGAGATTTTCTGGAAGATCTCCTGGGATATTTCCGACGGGGGAGATTTCCGGGGAGATTCTATGGAAGGTTTCCCGGGAGATTTCTGACGGGGAGGATTTGCTGGGAGATTTCCCGGGATATTTCCGACGGGGAGATTTCCCGGGAGATTCCCCGGAAGATTTCCCAGGATATTTCCGACGGGGGAGATTTCCCGGAAGATTTCGGGAAGGATTCCCGAAATCTTCTTGGAGATTTCCGGGCAAATTTCCGACGGGGGGATTTTTGGAAGATTTCTGGGAGATTTCCGACGGGGAATTTTTCAGAAGATTTCGGGAAGATTTCCTGGAGATTTCCGCGTGATGTCCGGGGAAAATTTCCGACGGGGGAGATTCCCGGGAGATTTCTGGGAGATTTCCGACGGGGAAGTTCTTTCCGAGAGATTTCCAGGGAGATTGTTTGACGGAGCAGATTTTTCGGGAGACATCCTGGGCCCCCCCCCGGGGGTCGCCCGGGGGCTCCTTAACAAAATTCGACGTAGGAGGAGGACGAGGAGTTGGAGGGCGACGAAGAGGACGGAGAAGTTCAGGAATAGGAAAAGGGATATGAGAAGGGAGGTTGAAGGAGGGTGACGATGATGCTGATGATGATGATGATGATGCTGATGCTGATGCTGATGATGATGCTGATGATGCTGATGCTGATGCTGATGCTGATGCTGATGATGATGATGGTGATACTGCTGCTGATGATGATGATGATGATGCTGATGATGATGATGATGATGATGATGATGATGATGATGATGAGGAGGAGGA